ACTTTAAAGCATCAATCCTCAAATGACCAATGGATAAAAACGTACAATTAAAAAGTCAGAGGAAACATCACTCACACTTTTAAATCTATCAGAGAAAGAAGCTGATAAAAGACTTCAGATCAGGAAAATATTCCTTGAATTGATAGGAGGGACAAATGTAATCTCCATTCATGGTTGGAGTTTGTTCGATCACATCTCTTCTCGTGATGGGGGGGTAGAAATTTACAAAGTATTTACTCAAGTAGAAGTTCAGATTTTTGTGCAAAAATAAAAATTTCAAATGTTGAGGCACTGATTTTACTGCTGCAGTAAACAAACACGAAAACAGGGAGTAGTCCGGTCACTGACATGCCAGTGGGATATGCCCTGAACACCTCACCAGCGAGGCGTCCGGAGAGCCTCCTGATCCAGATGCCAAAGCCACCTTATCTGACTCCTCTTAACCTGGAGGAGGAGCGGCTCTGACCCTAGCTCCTTCAAAACAATCGAGCTTATCATATTTACAAACATAGAGTATTAATTGCCCTTGTTTGCCACGGATTATTTGTTATTTTCACAAACTGCCATTTGCTTTTGATTGTGTTTGATGAGAGCCGAACATTTACCCTAAACTCTACTAACATCTAACTTTCCACCTCTTGTCCTCTGAAACTGTGCGGTGGTCGAAAACTGTTTATTGTGACGTTCTGAACACGTTGAGGCAGACATCTTTGGGCAATCCAGGGACAAACAACCGCCAGAAACATCACACCTCCAGCTGCTGTTGTCTCTTCACTTTTTGAGCTCGAGACCAAATGTGTTACTGAAAGAATCAGTTGTCCGAATATACTTTAAAAAAAAAAAGCCTTTTCTTTTTTCTTTCTACTAATGGTGAAGCCGGATATTTGGAGAGTCTCTGTTTTGAAGCAGAGCAAAATAGAAGTTGAGAAATTTGAGGTAGAGGCAGTTTTGCACAGGCATAAAAACAGACGCAGATATCACTCGGATGATCTCCTGAGAGGTGACATGCTCTTGATCCTGAAGAGGGCGACAGAGAGCCAGAGTCACTTGGGGGAAGCCTTAGATGTAAAGCAGCGAATCACTATGAGAAAGACGGGAGAGAAAGACGTCTGGCATTGAGGGTTAATAATCTGTGGTAGTTTTCACTGGCAGTGGTGCATGTTCTGTGGATGAAAAACAAAACTTTAGAGCCTGTTTGTGAAGACAGAGAAATTGTCCTTTGCTCAAACTGCACCAGTATGACTGTTGACACGGCTGCTGCTGCTCTGGCCCCAAAAGCCACATCAGATGATTTGTGGGGGCCCCATGAGACGAGGGCCAGCGGCATGTAATGGAGCAACTGGACCCGGCTGACAGATTTCCCAGCTTTGAGGGTTGTCGAAACCGGCTGGTGATTCAACTTTGGGCGTGACAAAAATGCTAAATGTTTTCCTTGCTGTGCGGAGATGGAAACTGCCTTGTGGTCTTTGCCTTCATGGCCTTGTAATAAATGTGAAATAACAGAAATTAAAACGAAAGTCCTATAATTCTGGGTGGCTTGGTCTGGCTGGGTAAAATATGACGAACAGAGAAAGAAAAGAAGCCTCAGAACAAACACTCGGAGGCGATTTCCAGCCCATAAGCCGCCGTCACACTTTCAAATTTGAAAATGAAAGATGCAGCTGCTGAAATCTAAACCTGCAGTTGCTGCTGTTTTCTCCCTTCGTTCTCTTCTCGTCTGCTTTTTCTCCCCTCTTCTCTCTCAAATATCGGGATAAAGCAGGATGACGACAGCGGCTTAACACAGCAAACTGTCAGCTGAGGGTTGGAGGGGGAAAATAATTGTCAGCGGTGGAAAAGAGAGAGAGGAGGGGGGCGAAAGGCAGGGACGGTCAGACACAAAGAGGCCTTTCTACCAGCGAGCAGAACTGCACCACGTCACAACACAAGCAGGAAACCACACCAACACCACCGCCACCACCTAACCCCTGGGACTGAGTGTGTGTGTGTATGAGAGGGAGAGAGAGCAAGAGAGAGAGAGAGGCAGAGGAGAAGAAAAGGGGGTCTGGGACGTTTAATGAAACCCAATATCCTGCCTCTGGTCTAAAAATAAATGGGGCAACTCGCGCATAAACATAACATAGTGTGTGTGAGAGTGTGTGTGTGTGTGTGTGTGTGTGTGTGTGTGAGTGTGTGTGTGTGAGTGTGTGTGTGAGTGTGTGAGTGTGTGTGTGACATATAGACTAAGTAGTGCACAAAGAGGTGTGAGATAGCTGTTTTCAATCCTCAGGTTTATTTGAGCTGAAAATGAGTATCGGATCCCCGCGCTGCCTCTACTAACCAAGTATGGCACACACACACACACATACATAAACACACACACACACACACACACACACACACACACACACACACACACACACACACACATACATATACATAAACACAGTGATGAGGTGATGTAATATCAGGTGGAGCACTGCTGCATGAGCCAAGTCCCACACTGATTACAGAAACTGTACAGACCGCCGTACAGGCTTTCTGCTGTAAAGGTAATTAAACGCTCGACGAGGCCCAAGCAATTAAATATTAGAGCGAAAACTTTAGAGCGACGCTTTTTCCTCCAGTGTTATCCTCAGAATGTGTCTGAGGGAAGTCAGATAGTCACTAATTACTCATGGAAAAGTTTATAGATTTCTTTTTTTTCTCTCAGAGGAGTCACCTGACTGAATTTTCTACAGCATTAAAACCAACTGATGTGCCAAATATAAAACAGATGAATATGAATGTCAGCATACTGGTGAAGACAGATTAAGACACGGATGTAACTGTTTCATGCATGACTGTTAGGACGATAAATTTAGATTTTTTTCATATCCATAAATAATTGATATCGTGCAGCAACCTAATGCAAGAATTCATATAATTTAATTTTTAAAGCATGAATAAAAAAATCTGATTTTGACACTTTTCAGCGTTTTGCATGTCCACTTCACCAAAGAGGGTCAATTAAGAGTTTCTGAGTCACATTTAGGCAAAATTTTTTACACTTAAGGAGATCAAAATGTTGCTGAAGTGTTTACCTGCCACAGCGGCTCAACAGGTGACATTTTACAGAAGAGAAAATATTAAAAGAAGGCATGTAAATGGTTAATGAAACTAGCATAACAACGTGCAAATACAACAGTTTTGTTAAAAAAAGCTGCAAGTTACAGTAAAGTGACATTATCGAGTTGATTCACATCAAACAGAAAAGACTAAACACTGATATCAAGTTTGAGTGAAATATGGTTGAAAATGCATGACAAAGTAATTAATCAGATTTTCTCCAAACCTAAAATCTAATCATGGGAACTTTTGATATTGTGCGTCAGCCGTCATGAAAAATTTACTGCACTTCCAAAGGCTAGCCAGAGAGAGACGGTGCAAAAAGTAACTTAATAATGTCTACTGATGAGCTGTGGTGAGACCAATTAATCAAAACCAAAAAACTAATTTTCAATAGCAGTTGACTGTGGTAAACTACTTTGCATTAAAGAGTTCAGAGCATTCATACTGGAGTAAAGAAAAAATGTCACTTTTTTTTCACTAAAATTAAACAGATTAGACTTGACATGAACTTTGCGTAATTAAATTGTCGTAAGAATGTTTGAGAAGTCCAACAAGTAGCAGGACCGATCAGGCAAATTAAAACGACTGAAAAATGACGGTTTGCAAATGTGCTATTAATGCTAATGACAATAAATCAAAGGAAACCGCACAACAAATCAAGCTTTCAAAAGATAAATATATAAGTACATAATTATAAGCAGCGATGAGTCATCAACCGCTAAGTTTTCGCTTCAATTTTGTGTCTTTCATGAATGAATCGATTCAATATTTTTACTTTCTAACTGTTTTTTTACTGTTTTTGATCAGTTCGGTAACTTCCAATCTACCTGAGGTGGTGTATTTCAAAATAAAAGCATAGTTTGAACATGTAGGCAATAAATTAAGTCAATTACAGACAAAAGCTATCAAACTAAATGCATTACAAACACTCATTAATGATCAGTGTCAGTGTGTGAATGAATCATAAATTTGAACATCATTGACATGGATGATGCTGTAAAGATAATTACTTGTGTAAGTTAAGTTTTAATTCACCTTCTTAATCTAAATGATTGTATTGTTTTATTGTTATTGTGATATTTTTCGCCCACAATGACTGATAGTTAAAAAAGTTTATATCGTAACAGTCCCATACTGAGGACAATTCAACTCACTTTTAATGCGATGTTGCTTCAGTTTTGTTTGTCTCCAGACCCTTATGAGTCAACTGAAATATTGTACGGTATTAAATTAAGTGTCGAGTCACTTACTAAAACCTTAAGTAATGATTGAGGTCTAGTATGTAGACAGTATCTCGTCGGCTGTAAACTTGTCATCAGCACATCAGCGCCGCTTTAAAACAAACAGTGAGTCATGGACTGAATTTACCTCAGGTCAGGCCTTAGACACAAACAAAGATTCTCACAGACACGATTTGCATTCATCGTAGGCGCTCGTACAGTATTTTCACACAAACGCATACATGAAGAGAGCCGTCACAGCTTCAGGCATAAATCACACCGGCGTGACAGGAGAGGAAAAAAAATAACACAACGTCTGTTACAACACATTAATGCTGATCACTCTGATCCGATAGCACCAAGAGATCGCTGCTGGCTGTCCTTGGAGGAGGCAGGTAACCTCCAGCTGACTTCTATAGCTGCTATAAAACTGTCATCCAGCTCTGAGGATGCGTGTGTGTTCGATGTGCATGTATGTCTGCGTATGAAAGCGTGTGCGTAGGAGTACACATAAGCCACCTGGAGCAGAGCAGGTATTATTAGTGATGGTGCCAAAAGACACTTAAAATGCAGCCACTCTGTCTAGTGCAAGCACGCCTGTCTGGGCGTAGATCAGCATGTGTGTTTGTGTGTCTCTGTGTGTGTGTGTGTGTATCCAACAAAGCCCAAGTATTAGACACCTCCCGGGTTTACCCAAAATTGTGTGTTTAATCTTTAATCAGAAATGCACAGAGTGTCCTGTCAAGTCACTTTCAGTTCTTTCAGGGGACAGACGGACAGATGGAAGTGTTTCGGTATTCAGCCTGGAGCGCACACACGTTTTACCTGAGATTATGGGATTTTTCCCCCCATTGTCTCTAAGCGCAACAATCCTCAGATTCCTCAACACGACATATTTTCTTTACACCGATGTGCGCAATCGATGGTGATAAACTTAGAGGACACAGTTCTGCTGTCGTAACTTTCAGGGACAACCTGAGCTTCCTGTTACTTTTACTACTGCATACAAACAGCACAAACATACCTGTGTAATGATGTGCCTCTGTAATAACCCCCCTGTTCGGCTCTGTGAGATGGGCTTGAATTTGCTAAGTTGCAGGAATGTGGGGTTTTATGTTTGCAGGTGAGTCTGTGAACGTGTTGGTTAAAAATTTCCACCTTCCGTGCCATCCATCTCGGTGGTCTCGATAATTGCCTCATTTGTTTCGATGCCATCAACCTGATATATGGTTTTAGTTTTCAACACCTATTGTTCTGGTGTGTGTCGTGACCTCGGTGCAGCCAGGCTGTGGTGTTTGGTTTCAGGTAAGACTGACACTGATGACGAGGATCTGAAGATTTTGATTTTCTTTTTTTTTTGCTGAATGAAGAGGATTAAGGGAGGGACAGGGACAGACATGAGTATCAAGTGTCTGATACAATTGTTAACTTTCCTTTTTCTTTTTTTTTTTTCAAGTTTGATCCTCACCTGTTTGTTTTCATGCTATTTTTGGGTGTTTTGAGTGCATTTGTTTACAACCATTCAAGTTTTAAAGGAAATTAAAATAACTGGAAATGATTTTACCTGCTTGAAAATGTCACTAAAATTAAAGTAAACCTTTTCTGACACATTAACATACAGTTTAATTGACATATTTACTAACAGTAAAATATATTTGTGTAAAATAAACTTCATTTTTTTGGTCTTATTTTGATTTTATTCAAAGTCACGTGATATAGGATTAAAGGCAAGTATATAAAAAGGTTCATGTAAGGGCTGTCAGGATATCAGATTTTCACCTCATGATTATCATGGCCATGAAATATCACAATAAGAACATTAAAGCAGTATAAGAAAACCTAAGAAATCAGAACAACACAGAAAGTAAAAGGTAGAGCAACATGACATACACAAGTATGTTCATAAATATTACAAAACTTAAGTAATAAACACAATAAACTTACATATTATCATCCATTTCTAACTTATTTAGATAAAGCAATACCTTATAATTATAATTTATAATACTTTTATATTGATATTTTCTGTCTTGCATTTCGGTTGTTTTATTTCCTACACTGTAAAATTACGCTCTTATTTTGAAGTACAATCTACCTCCAGGAGATCCCAAGTTACCAAACTGAAAGAAAACAGTTAAAAAGTTAAAATGGTAAATGAATTAGTTCCCTGAAGAGACGAAAGCTCTAATGTTGATTTACCAAAAAAATAAAATAAAAAGCTGGATTTCAGTTTTCACGTGTTTAATTACTGTTTGTAGATCTGCATCAAGTTAGTTCACTAGCAGTCTGCTGCTTCTTCTTCTTCATCTCTCCTCCATTTGATCATGTGTGGCAACTATGTACTCGTGGTATTACTGCTTCCTTAGTAATATCAATATTACGATATCAATATTAGATTTTTAAATAAGGACAGTCACCATCAACAGCCTACAAGTTTGATATTTCAGTAAATTCAGTCATTTTCTCCCAAAGCATGCAAACTGGAAAAAAGTCAGAGGAACAATATTTTAAAAACAGTCGATACCTTTGTTATAAAATAAAAAAACAAAGTATTAAATTTGTTCTTAAGTTCAATTTGACAAAACTTATTGAAGAGTCGCTTTCTTTGGTTTTGTCATTTCTATTTTCTTCCTGAAACATTCCATTTTTGTTTTATTTTTATTCATTTCAAGACTGTTTTGGAAAATTAATGTTGGTGTAGCAGAGAGATTCTTTTCTCAGACAAAATCAGAGCTACAACAATTCTGTCACTCGTCTCAAAATACAGCCATATCAATAGATCTCTGGCATTAGATAAGACATAATCATATAATCATAAACACAAACTATCAAAGATATTAGACCTTTCTGTTATATTTTATTAAACAGTAAGTCTGTCCATCTGTCTCTACAATGCTGCTACAAGGAACTTCACATACAAAAGAACAACTAAGATACAAACATTATAATTGCAATTTACAGGTGACTAAAGAAAGGCTTTTTGCAGATTTTTGCCTTCACCAAAAACAGGCTCTTTCCCGATGAACACCATTTGCAGCAACAGATAATGGGGACAGAAGATTACATTAAAATATCCTTTTTACATTTTTCAAATGTCACTCTTTAATGCTCTGCCACGAAAACACACACAAAAAAAAGTTTTTATCTTGGTCCAGCAGGAAATATCTCCAATTCTCAGTGTGTCAAACAAAATCAACCCTCATGGTGAGGTAAGTGTGTTTGACACGAAATTCATTTTGGTGGACTCGCCCTTTAAAGTAGCTTTAGCCATTTTCTGACCTGGAGCAAAACAACAGAATTCAAAGAGACAGCAGCGATACTAAACACAACCCACACATTTGCATGAATGGAACAAGTTAGACATTTTCTGTGTGTGTGTGTGTGTGTGTGTGGGTGTGTGTGTGTGTGTGTGTGTGTGTGTGTGTGGTGTGTGTGTGTGTGTGTGTGTGTGTGTGCGTGTGCATGGTTTCTGTAAAATCTAAGGTCTGCTCTGGTTCTGCAGTTCACACACAGTGACTCAGTGTGTCACGCAGTGCCGTGTCCTGGAATGACTTTTCCCATGTGGAGGTTATCGGTTGTGGAGGAATAATCTTTTCAGTAGTAAAATAAACCGTTTAAAATGTTCAGGATGTAGAAACTGAGTGAATAGATCTCACGGCTGGATATTAAACACTTTGAAAGCCAAGGACAAATCCATTATAAGTGGCTTAAACTGGCACTGAACAGGGTTTAGAGTAACAAGATCGGAAACCGAAGGAAACAGGACCACATGGAACATCGAGGCACAATGCAGTATGATACGATCTGACACAACACAATAGAATAGGACAGTGTGGGACAGGATAGGATAGTATTTAGTACAATATGATACAACACTGTTTCATAGGTAGATCTATCTCCAAATCCACACAGATTCCACTGCCACTTCAAAATAAAACTTAATACAAGTCATTTTCAATGGACAAGAACCATAACAGACTGTTAAATACCACATTCAAGATACTGCATGGTATGGTACCATTTAGAAAGATATGACAGTTGGGTATGGTACCATATGATTCAGTACAGCACAGTGTGGGACTGCTTGGCACAACAGGATATGGTACAGGACTTTCTAGTATGACACTATCTCAACAGGTAAATACAATCAACATGAAGGAAGGCTTGATTTCACACACGAAAATTATTAAATCAGTCTGTCTCACATGCCTGTCCAGGGGTGTTTCTTAGGTTTAAGGATGTCAGGGGATCCACCTGGACACCCCCACCCCACCCCACAAAGAAAAGAAGAAGTAGTGATAGAAAATACAAATATTTGACTTGGTGTATTTGACTCGGTGTAAGGATCATTCCTCTATAGTACCTAAGTAGATCAGCAGGGGCAGTGGAGAAAGACACCCAGATTAGTTAAAGCACAGACTATCACAGGGCTGCTCTTACATTATTATATCACAGACTCTTTTCTTCTCTGCGTAGGGGAACAGATGCCTGATGTACTTGACACCCTTTGCATTGTGGGAAGCTAGTTCCAAAAACGCTTGTTAATGTTAGCAAGATAACCTCCCAACAACATGGATCATGGGTTGATTTGAAATGCTTCATTGACATTTCGGTTTGTCCGATACGGACACACAAAAAACAGAAGTTTAAAAACTTCCAAGTCAGCACGTGAGCAAGAGGGACTTTCCGCAAAACGAAGGCTGAGAAAGTCCAACAGCAGCGAGAAGGTACAAGACCGGCTTTGAGAATCCCCCTTCTTCGAAGAGCTGAACAAATTTCTCTGAATTTAACGAGTGTTCGAAGCAGTCAATATTGTGTTGTATTATGGTGTTGCTATGCTATGCCAAGTGTCAGCTCTTTTGATGTCAATCTGGATGGAAGTGGTGAGTAACCGTCACTACCTCTTTTACTACCGGAGTTTGATGAGTCAACCAGATGAGTCAAACGAACCACCACAGGGTCTAACTGGCAAGACGACCTTCTCTGGGCGATCTGGGCTTGTTAAGGTACACATCGAAGTGCGATCCATCGTCGCACATGTGCCATACAAAACTGAACAGCAGCTGAGAGGACCATGAAGCTGCCGCACAACCGATAAAACCTGAGAAACATTTTTAGATATGTAAAAGTCTCCACAACAAACAAAAGCTTTTCATCCAGCGGATTCGAGCCGAGCGCTGCTCAGTGAAGTGTGTGTGAGAGGGTGTTAACAGGCAGTTAGCTTATAAACACTCTGTCTTTTATTGTTTGAAGGGCCTGCTGAAACATTTCAAGTCCAGCTTGATGATACATTATCACAATGAGATATTTGACTGTTTTAACTTTTGTTAAAATTAAAGATAAATGGACACGGAGGGTCAAAAAGATATTATGTCAAGAGATATTCATGTCGCTACACATTTTTAGCACATTCTGTTCCCTTCTAAAGAAACTGGATTTGGTCCTGCTCAACAGCAAAGAAAACCCAGATCCTTTCACTCACATTTATATTTCACATATTTGTTAATTCCTCAACTTAAAGCTCATAATCACATCTTTCTATCGTCTGAAACATTTCGTTCCCATTCCCATCCCATCATTATTCCACAGCGGGCCTGTTCGAGCACAACCACAAGCGCTGTCATTATCTGTTTTAAGTGGATGTTTCTGCTATTGTTTCAGGTGCCAAAAACGTGTATGAAGCGGAGTGAAGTCCTACTAAGTAGACTTTAATTCTCAGGAATCTCAGTTTCCAAAGACGCGAACTGTGATTACCAAAACAGTCTGTGCGTCTAGCAGCCACATGCGGACCGAACGATGAAAGGATGATGGGAGGAGACGCCAATTTCCAGGGCTGAAGGACAAACAGTGTGTACTCCCTCACCCTGTTCTCTTGACCCTTTACACTTGATTTATCTCTACTCATCCATTTAATGTTGGATGTTAAATACAGAATACATCTGTACTTATTTATACTACTTAAGTTGTTTGTAGAGCTTTAAATAGAAGTTTTAGTTTTTACAGTAATATCATTGTCTCTTTGTTGGGATTAAATATTAACTTCACTTGACAATGACTTTTTTTTTTATTTAATCTTTTACAACATCCTTTTAAGCAAACACCAAAGAGGTTCAGATCTAGTATCTACATGTGTAAACAAAAAAAAGCTCCTGTCAATATCTGTCTTGTTTGCTTTTGTTTGTCATAAAAAGGCTTCATATGAATTCAAGTCAGTTTCATAGAAGTAAAAAAAAAACTCACAGGAGCTTTAAATAATATCCTACAAAAATAAGTGAACAGGGTAGGGAGACCATATTCTGAATCCCCAAAAAGAGGAGACGACTACATGGGGGCGGAGTCACGTAGTTGAACAAAGTTCATTTTGAGAGTTTTTTAGGTCGGATCGAGTGTCCTTCACACGCTTCTAAATCAGTAAATCCACGTGACACAAACTCGAGACTTCCAAACAAAACCGCGGACATTTGAGGGATTTTATAAACTCCCCCGGACAAAGCCAGACAAGACCGGACAAAAAAGAAGCTGTAATGTCAGCTCCTACTAGCTGGCTGTAGCATCACCTTTCTAAAGCGGTCAAACGGTTTTAAAATCGAGATTCAAATTCAGTGTGAAATTCCAAAAACAACAAAGAGCTTGTGTCTGTTCATAAGTGCCAATAAATGTGTGATATTTGTGCATTCATAATGTTTTTATAACTGGTTTCATTCATGTCTGTAACTTCAACTGTGTGTACTTTCTAATTTCAAAATAAAAGCATGCTTTTACAATACAAGAAAGAAAGCAACCTTAAACTCAAGACAGTAAAAATAAAAGCTTTACAAACGATTATTTCATGTCTTTAAGCTGTTAAAGTGACATTTTTCTCCACCCTTCTGTTGCTTTTCCCTAATTTGACTGGAAATATTTTTATCAACGCATTAAATTGTAACCAGGATATGAAATGGGCATAATTGTGATATCATGGCAACCCCACTGTGGACTATTATCTCCTTGACAGCGTAGCACGCCACATGAAGCTTGAGTATTTGAAAATGTTATAACAAAATAAAAAACACCCTATTTTCAGTCTCCCGCTCCTATTATTTCCTCCTCCCTCGTCTTGCTCCGTCTCCTCTTCTTCCTCCTCCTTCCCCTCCCTTCTTCACCCCATTAGAGGCGAAGGATCATCCCATCGATCACAATAACCCCTTAGGTGACCCCGGTGCACCAGGTCTGCTTTACGCTGCTCTTTGTTTGCTCTCTTCCTGCATTTCTCCGAGCGGCATTGTGGCCCTCTCAACAAGTGGCTCATTTAGCTGCTGCGGCAACAGCTTGCAACATGTTGAAACATACATCCTGCTCTAAATGGAGAGTTTGGTAGCAAACAAGTGCAAATGGAGAGTTTTTGTGGTACATCAAAATGTTGGGGTTTTTTTTAAGACAAAAAAAAATAGAAAGATTTGAATCCAGACGTTTTGCCATCTCCCTCCTCCAGGCTAGGATTCAATTCTACCAGATAAAATCTCCTCAACCGCGACAGCCACTCTCTTATGAACATATTTATAGGTATAGCAGCAATATCTGCGCTTGCATAATACATTCGACTCTGTGAAGAGCCGGGTTGAGCTCATGAGGGGAAATGCATGGGCAATTTAACAGCAGGGTAATAGTAATGAAAGCAGGAAAATAGAAAACGGAAGAACATAAGATGCTGTGCGAATGGGAAGAGAGAAGAAGAACTGTGGGAGATAAAAAGAGGCTGACGCAAGAGAAGAAGATGGGGAAGGAGAAGCAGAAAGATTGAAGAAATGTGGGGCAAGCCGAAGTGAAGAAAAAAGACAATATGAGTCATAAAGCCGAGCGGAGGATGGAGATGATAACAGGTTTAGCGTTCATCACACATTCATAGCAATGGATTTGTACGCTCATTATCTATTAAATGCATAATTCATCACCAAAAGAGATGATCATTTTAGATACATTTGAGTTTTGCATGACCGTTTTTACGTGCAACACAAATGCAAATCAAATCCACCCTTCAGGAATTATCTGCAACTGTCTTTAGTGTAATCACCCGGAACTTCACAGACTGAAATCATATTTTCCCATGCAAATTAATATCGTATAATTAGTTTTAAGTGCTGTAGGTGTCATTCAAAATGGTCAAGGTTCAGCTTTTGAACTAAAGGCGCAGCAGAAATTTATTACAGAGGCGAATATCCGTTGGAAAAAAGAAGTCTCCCCAGGGATGGAGGTTGTGACTCATTCACCTTGAAGAAGAACATTGCTACTGGCTGAGTCACTGGGGTCACACCCCTCCACATACACAGACACACACACACACACACACACCCAGCAGTCACTTAACCGGTTCCCTATCACTCTTTGTCTCGACGCACACACAATTTCAAGTAGTCGATGTTGATGCCTTGCAGGAGCACATACACGGTGGAGCTGCAGTTATATTTCAGCGCGCAAACAGAGCAAACACCCACAAAAAGACTTTGTATAAAGAATTAACTCAATTCAACATTTCATGCCACAACGTCCTTGACCTACTTATTCCATCACACGCGGATCAGGAACACTTTCTGCTCAAGAGAGTGATATCAGAGTTAAAATATCACAATTCTTCAATAAAATACATGCACAATGATCAAACTAATGAGATACGAATTCACCACTAAAGGTCCCATCACAGCATCTCCATTGATTTCAGTCTGCTTTAGTACTGGGTAAGAACTCCTCTCTTTGAGGAGCTTCACATGGACAGGAAGTGTTTAGGGAGCTGAAATGAGAGTATGACAACAGCACTGACTTGGTTTGTCAGGGAACCTAACCCTAAACCCTAACCCTGACCCCTGGCTATCAAATATTGATGATCTGTTAGTGATGGGCACGGCAGTTCTTTTAGATGTACTGAATCACTAGAATCAGTTCATTAAAAAGATTCATTCACCGAATCACTGAATCATTCAGCGCATGGCGGGAGGAGCCTGCGACTTCCTGAACTGATACACAGCCGAACGGTTCAGGATTTAGTTCAGATCATCGCGTCTGGGACCGGTAGACAAGAGTGTTGTGGCTGTGTTGTTTTGATAAACAGGTTTGTAACAATAAACTTGTTTATAAATCATGAGGTTTTAAGCGTACTGTCCAATGGTATGCTAGTTGTCTACTCGGTAAAGTGGGCTCAGTGAGTGATTCGTTCTCTGAACATGTACCGTTCCCTCGCAAATTGCTGCAATGACAGGATCAGTCACGCATTTCTCAAACTGTGGGTTTTATACACTACTTGTTACTTGCTGTGTCCTACTAAATATGTTAGAATAATGGGGAACAGTGGCCATATACGTGTATCCCTCAAACAAAAATGATTCCAGAGAGAGTCGTTCACTGCATGATTTGTTCACCAAGTGATTCAGGCCTTGGCACGAGTGGTCCGTCGCTCACCGGCTGCTGACCAAGCAATGCTGCGTGCTATGGCAGCTACATTGCCGATAACTCAACTTAACAAACGAACGAATCACTTGACGAAGTGATTCGGTTCACTTAAAAGATTCGGTTCTTTTGAACACATCATTCGCGAACAACACAACACTACGCTCTGTCATACTTTCAGCATCAAAAGTTTGGAAGTTTGGAAATAACACTTTCCAAAACTAACTAATATGGAGTTAAACTTTAAAGTTTGAAAGGTGAATTATTTTAACCCAAACATTCACTTTTATGAAACAAAATCAACAACTTTTAGTGGCTCAAAATGTCTCACTGCTAACCACAGGAAAGAACCAACAACTAAGTTATCAAAAAATCTCCTTTTTAATGACTGTGTCTCCCTGCTGTGACTGAATTAATAAAAATGAAGTAGTCTCAAACTGACGAACATTTAGGAAAACAAGAACTTGGCAGACTCAGTTCACTTTTTATTTGAACAGATTTTAATTTGCAGTTTATTCATTGTCATTAGTTCCTTTTTCAATCATTAAGGGATCTCATAGGGTAAATAAATGGGAAATAGGAAAATATAAAAGGAAACAACCAAGACTTCTGACTTTACAACATTTCTTTTTTATAATACGCACTTTCAGAAAGGGTATAATGGAAAAATATATGAAGTAAAAGGTCCATGAACCTACCATTTAATCCAATGCAAGAAAAAAATTTGTTGGAGATATAAAGTCGTGAAGTGGAAGGATAGCTTTAGCTTTGCATTTATTCCATTAGGGTCAATTTTACAGTTTTTTTTTATGATGCTAAGCCAGCTGTCTGTGTCTGTCACTATAAATGTACAGTTTATCATCCAGGAACTGTTGTTGTTTAGGGCTGCTGTCAGTGTTGAATCAGGAAGACTGTTGACAAGAGATACTGTCCACTCTATAACAAGTTTTCCACTCGCTTTGCCCTATACGCTGCAACTTATAATTTCTTTTAATCACTATCATTTCACATGTTTGTTTTGCTTTAAATTGCAAAATAAAGCCAAATAAAGTTTACTTTCTGGGAAGGCCTTGTTTCATCGGAATGATTCCCCAGTCCTGATTTCACATTCATTTTCTGTTGTCCTGTCTTTTTGTAGCTTTTCTCTACACCTCAGTATAACCCCCCAGATGCTGCTCATGATAGGCACGAAAGATGTGTTTGCAAATGCTTCCTGCAGGACGTCTTGTTTTTCTGTCCATGTAGCAGCATAAAGACCCACATCGATCTTGGCCGATATGAAAAACAAAAGATTTCACATCTGAAAGAGCCCACAGGGAACTTTCTCTTTGGACTGAATTCATAAAAGAACTTCTGTCCAAATAATTATTGCACATTCAGAGCAGGTGAAACAGATTATTTCATGATTCCTCTTAGCATCAAGGTCTCTTTTTGCTCTTTTCAAATCAAAAGAAAGTTGAATAATGCCTCCTTTCTAAATCTCTGGGTAGTTTTTTGAAGCAGAGTTTTATCTGTCAGAAATGCCCACCTGTCATATTTCACAGTATCAGATAAAAAGGTTATATCACTCAAGTAAAGGCAAACATACAGTTAGTGGAGATCTCACCCGTATCTGAAGCTATATTTTTATTCCTTTATCGAGTCTACTGTATACTGTGTTACTCCAAAAATAATAATAGATAAAACACTAAAATGATATTTAAAGATCTGTTCTTAGTTGTAAACTTCTCTTAAGTTGTTGATTTTTGGACTTAAAATTGGTTTACTTTGATATTCAGGGTTTATGACTGATTCAAAATCACATTCATATTACAGATTGCAAAAATAATGATAGAAACATTTCGGTAAAAGTGGTCTAGACTCGAGTGTATTTACAAAGACGCAGTATGAAGATGGGATAAGACTGAACCCCATGCATCTTGTAAAACCAGACCCACTCTGATCCCATCTTTCATGAGTGTTGCACTTTGCAGCATTTAGCAAGTTAACAGGCAGAACGCTTGAACAGAACCAGACAGATGTAAGTCAGTCGGCATTAAAAGTTCATTTTTTCAAACAGGAATAACTGTCCCATCTGCAACTTATGATACTGACAGTTTCCATAACTTTTTTAAAATCTATTTTACAAGGTGAGAGTCTTCTAATTTTAACTTTTTTAACAGTAAGCGAAACAGTTTTTGAAATTTACTTGCTTAAAAATTAAAAAGCGATGTTTTAACTCACAAGTTTTACACATTAGGTTGAGTACTCATAACAAAATCCACTGCAACTCTCCAACAGGAAATAAAAAGTTCATCTACACAAAGCGCCTGAGGTTTTAGCGTGAATTAACCGACAAAACGCTCAACACATTTGTTACAGTGTCTTCCACTAATACCTTTCCCTCCAGCTAATACAATAAAGAGGGGTTCTTAGGTTTTAATACGTCTAATGAAACTCAATCCCTCTTCGGCTTCCCTTTAAGATTTCAGTGGCTTATGTGTAAAAACAACAGCCTCAAGTTCACTGGATTATTATAATGTAACCTCTATTCATCCCTACTGCAGTGTTATCGAGCCCCCTGTGTTAATACAGCTACTTTACTTTACGCTCGAGTCATAGCAACCAGATCGGTTTAAAATCCATCGTGGACCAATTTCTGACATGTTTTTCATACGTGCTAAAGGGCAGGAGAGCAACCCTGAGCAGAGAAAGGAAAGGTTTCCTTCTAAACGTCTCCAGAAACACACACACACAAATACGGACACACACTCAGAGCAGAGAATGAGTGTATGTGCCACTCTGAAGCAGACTTTCCACATGGTCGGCTGGCTCTTCCAGTAACCGGATGGCACACTTCCCTGTCTATTGAGGAGGGGAAGAAACTCGAAGGGCGTTTCAAGGGAGAGGAGAGTTCAGAGCGGCACTTCTGATGCCAAACTGGCAATCGCGAAAATGATTAATTTCTTTTTTGTTACCTTTTCCTGAACAACCCTGAGCATACCTAAGAGCTCATATTCATGCGGTATTTAACTGCTTTGTGTTTGAAGGATCATCAAACCGAGCAACGTTTGACCTCTTTATACCGCCTGTATTAGCTGAAGAGATTTAGAAACAACTTCAGAAACATGAAAAATTATGTTTTAAAGCTTCACATTCATATATCTCACACTTCATCGTGCACTCCTTGGATTTTTCATCAAGACAGCTGTCCTTATTTTGAGACCAGTGTATCTCAAGCTAACAAAACTTTGCCATTTCAATTACACTTTAAAAAAAACATGTTTTTTCGCTCAATTTGAAATGCAGAAGCAGCCTCACTCAGGCACTTATTAAGGCTTGCTGAGTGTTTGAGGAAAAGTTTCCATCCGAAGTAAAAATCTGGTTAAAATAAACTTTTTTTTTTTAACTCCAATTAACTGCCTGATGGTGATTCATAAGCAGATTAGAGTCATTTACTATAAAAAAGTCCTGAGCAGTTGTTTCCACGCAGGATAGCAGAGGTAAAGTTTAATATAACCAAAGAGTAAATTAATTTCCTTTCTCCTCTCTGACTCATAAACTAAACAGGATTTGGCTTACGAAGATAAACCGCCACAACCTGAGCCAGTCATTCTTATATATGAACAAGCATGTGTAATGTCAAGAACAAGATTACAACATATTAAAAATGGTAAAGTTTGTCATAAAATGGGTTAGGCAAGAGCATATACATGCAGGTTCCCTCTCTTTTTCCTTTCTTAACTAAGCCGCTCTACTCCCACAAGGAAAAACAACCCCAAAACAAAGCAAGCCTGTGCAACACAGCAATTTCAGCAGTAAGAATATATGTTCCTGTCAGTTCCAATGTTCCCACATCAAGCGTGTGCAGACGACAGTGCTGCAGTCTGGGGCTCGGGTCTGCTGCGTCTCTCCCCTGTTGCTTTTTAATGAAGGCTGACGAGAGCAGAGATTAACTACGATCTGGTTTACGTTAACCCCCCAGCAGCTTCACGAGCTTCGGATAAAGATTGAATATTTTAACGTGGGGGCTATAGTACGGGTGGTTCTCCCATTCGCCTAATTTTTCACGTCTGTTCAGCAAAATAACACCTAATTAAGCTGAATTGATTTAATGGCCATGAAAACTTCACCCAATAACAGAAAAATAAATGGAAATCTCAGGGAAGGTAACCTTATTAGTGTGAAATGAAAGAAAGTCTGTGCAGGATCCGGGGAAGTAGCAGTAGACAGAGATACTAATTCACACGGCTGATGTCATCTGAGGTGGTGTTTGGGAGTACGATGAGAAAGAAGTAAAATATGATGCCCTAATGAGAAGCATCTTGCCGCTTGTGACTTGTAAACTGAACTTTTATATTTGCCTTCCACTCCTTAGCTCAACAAGACGTGAAGCACACGGCTCATAAATATTGCTGCCAAAACACCACCGTGCACCAACATCAGGCTCAGCAGACCACCCAAAACTCAGTCCGCATCTGAACACGACTGACAATTTGATAGAATCAGCTGAGTGTGTTTTTGTCTGTATTTAAAGTGTGTTTCAAATTGGCTTCTGTGATGGACACTTCTCGGCACAACCGAGCTGGCATTAAAACTGTATTCACTTGGGAGGGACTGGCTGCAGGTGGTTTGGCTCACTGCTGCCAATCAAAAAGGTTACTGGCTGGACTGTTAACAATATTATGTTATAAAGTTTTCTGTGGTTTTAATGAAGATTATTTTAGGTAAGAATCTCTGACAGCGACTGAAATTACTCTAGCATTCATCCATGATGTAATAAAGCTGCCGTTCTTCCTCTCCACCCAGCTGTGGTACATACTTGATTCTGATTGGTTAACAACCATTGACAAACAGTTATTAATTCTGAATAGCAAAACCTGATCACACCAATTTGATTGTTTTTGAAAGTAGTTTCCAATAGTATCCGTGCACAACAAGGATGATTATTTTGCCATTTCAACTTATTGGGAGAGCACAGACTTATACGAGGAGAGTGGGGTAAGTTGAGCCACCCCCTGTTGCTTGGAAATGGTAAAAGAAATTGATCATGTGACCAAATATTTAGGAGATGGCCATCAATTCATGGAGTCTGTGAAGGTTAGAAGCACATGGGTGAAGGGGTTAGACATTTATTTTCATAAATAAAACATTTTTCACTCTTGAAAGTGAATTTAGTCTGTCATAAGTTTGATTAGAATTGTGTTCAGACCAAAAAAGATCATTTTAAATTTGTTTTATACATCAATTGTGGTAACGATGAGCTACAACATGAGGTCAAAACCCTGTAAAAGTCCACCATTTTAGCTTAGAGGACTAATAAAGTCATAATAGTAGTAAAGCGGTATGATGAGAGGATCAGAGATTCAGGTCAGATTGTTGAAATGTGTTACTAGTAGGGATACGGCTCAACTTACTCCGCTCCTATGGTCAACTTACCCCATACACGGGGTAAGTTGACCATAGGAGACCACTTTTTTTGGCATGCTATGTTATCAAGAGTTATGTTTACACTCTTTCTGTTGGTTTGCAATGATGCACAACATCTTGAAATATACCCAGATATACTAGTTGTAGTGATCCGAAATATGAAAAATGGCTCATCTTCCCCCACTCTCCCCTATTGATGATTAATGGTTGATCAGTAAACTGTAGTTAAAAGGTGAAGAAAATGAGAAGGGTTTTAAAACACTAAGAGAAGCAGAGTGACAGAGACATCAATCGAATTGAAGAAAGCAGACACCAGCAATCAACTGTAACTGCAACCAGAAAGTTACAGGAAAGACTTAGGGTTAGGGTTATTCAAACTCAAACCTCTGTTCAAACTCTAATGAGCCATTCAAACTCATAATAACACAGCATACCAGCACAACAGCCAGTCTGAATTCGCTTGCTGTATGATCCAGCAGAGGGCGCTGCCATCATAAACTGGCCAATCCAAGCTTAAGTAAACTAAGACTGTAATGTTTAGCTAAAAAAAAATTGAGCTCAGGGTTCAAAATGAGCAGACAATCACGACACAAAACGTCTGAGAAGTGCTGTTACCGGTAAAATTGCAAGATATGAACGTACCCGACATTAGCGCACCATATTTGATATTTGCAGGGGCGAGAGTGAGCCGGTACGCAGCGGTATGACGTACCAGGAAGACATAAACAGCGTTTTACAGCCGGTACGCAAACTTTCACCAATGCAATGTCTGTAGGCTTCATTAGGTTACCGTGTTTCCTGCACGTCAGTCTGCACTCTGCATAGTAACCGTAGTAATCCAATAGAACCATGCTGCTTGCTAATGAGTCATATTTGCTTCCCCAAACAAACAAACAAACTCAAGTGGGAACGTTCAGTGCGCACTTTTGATTGGACGCCGGAGGAGGGAACTTTTACAGAGACAGCTGCTTCAATCTTAACGCAGAGATAAAACAAAATGCAGAGAAAATTTGATTTTATGTTCAGGAGAAAGAGAGATGCAGCAGACGATGATACAGTGGCATCAGAGTTGGCACCTCATTAAACTTGGATGTGCACCTCTTGTACAGAGCCTACAGGTACAGTACATAGACTGTATGCACTATGGACAACTTGGTTCAGCCTTCCGCCAGTATACGGATTTGAAGCCAACAGAAAAATGTGAATGTGAAGGTTTTACTTTTCACTCTTAGAACGACCGAATTCATGAAAAAGGAAGATATCTGAGGCTGATCTTGGCAGTGTGAGGGGCTACAAGGTGCGCCTGAAGACCACGGACGGCCATGGAAACTCTTTTCTGGATGTGTCACAAAACAAAAACCAAAAAAACTTTTACCCTGATAGATTCCTGTTTTACTGATCTTACATCGGGTTCCCTATAGCTCCTCTGAGGCACAATAAATACAAAGAGACACTCGAAAGAGTAATGATGATAATATATTTAAACTTTCGTTCCTGATTGCATGGAAAAACATATGCAGAACAGCACTAATTATAGAGGATCAGAGCTGAATCAGGAAGTTCTTTGAAATAAATCTCCTCTCATTTCTGAGTTTCAGTAGAACTTTTTTTCTCTTTAACTCTGAGCACCACATCTTAACCTCCTTTTTCAGGGTGGATGCACATAGCTGACGGACTCAGACCTATATTGGCAGCCTTTCTCATACTGAAAAAAACGTGCATCCTGGTTTTTCACTTTCTCCTTTACCACCAACTAAAAAATGGCTGGACGGCAACTTTGGCACATCATTAAGTCGAGAAATTTTGTAGTGGTTTGCATGCAGGCTTCCCTTTAACCCCGGGGTTTAACTCCATCTCTGTTTCGAGACGCATTCATCCATCCGCACTCTCTTGATCCCGAGTCCAAACCGCAGCGATGACTCACGGGTAAATGAGCTGAAAGAGGAGCGTGAGGGGGGGGGAGAGGACAGAAAGCGGACAGATTAAGTCTCCGAGAAGGGTTTGCGGCAGAGAATGAGAGAGACACACAGTTTGAATGAGACTGCTTGAGGGTGCTGGAGGCCTATCAGGCGGTGCAGTTGCCTGGAATAACAAACGGAGACTGTCAGTGTGACGGGCATGGATGGTGGTCTCTCTGCTGTTAGGCCTTTTATAGTAGATCCTTCTTTCAAGAAAAAGGAAAAAAGATTGATTTGATTTTTATTCTGGAAAGGTTTCAGGGAAGTCGTCCAGCATGTGTCCGCGGAGGATGGTAACACAGTGTGTGATGAATACTAAAGAACAATATGAAACACTGTTTTCATTCAGTTTCTGCTTTTCCTTGTCATTTATTTTTACAACCTTTAAAAAAGACATAAGATGAGTTCAGGCCAAATCCTGTTGGTGTAGTAAAAGAACTCCTCACCGTTGTTAACTATCATACAAGAGTTCAACAATAGTCCACCCCCTGCAGTGTTACCAGATGGAAATATAGAATTATCGTACTAGAGACTCAAAATTATCATATATCACGATTTTGTGGCTTCAGTTTTGTGGTCATTCACCGCCCCGCCCAACATCTCTTTAGCTCCTGTTCACGAATTTTTTTTCTGTAAGATGGAAGGGGAAGGTCCCGCCCTCCTTTGCCTCTGATTGGCTAGTATGGCTGTGAAACGTCATTGTCTGTCGGGTTAGGGTTAGCATGAGGGTTAGGTTTAGGAGTTTCAGCCCGCATTTGGCTTGAGCGTGTGATGACGTTTCCAGCTTTTCTAGCCAATCAGAGGCGAAGGAGATTTTCCCCTTCCGTCTTCCAAAAAAAGAAAATCGTCTCCTGTTCATCACGGTCCTCTTCAGTGGTGATTATTTTTCTCAACCGACTTCCTGACTGAGCATGATTGACAGCCAATCACACTCGTTTGGAGACAAACGTCACTCTAAAGTACGATTGGATGGAAACATCACATGGTAAAAAATGCCTTAGGGTTTGCAAATAAAAAAACAAAAAAATTAAGTGTCTGGCAGACTGAGACAGTCCCACTGCACTATACACTCGTCAAATTATCGTACATTTAGCCTTTTTTCTTGGTTAATGATCAGAGGGCAAAATTATCGTACAAATACGATAATTATCGTACACCTGGCAACCCTGATGCCCTGTGCCTGTACAAAGACTTAATGACAGACAGACTAGATTATAGTCCGTCTGTTATTATAGATTAGCGCTGTCCCTTTTTAATAATAAATAATGCATCAGATTTCCTATAGCGCTTTATCAGAGACCCTCAAAGCGCTTTACATTGGATACATCATTCATTCGCTCACACAGTCACACTTTGGTGGTGGTAAACTACCTTAGTAGTCACTGCCCTGGAGCAGACTGACGGAAACGTGGCTGCCATTTTGCACCTACGGCCTACACTCACAATCATACACCAGTGGAGGACACACACTGGGAGCAAAGTGGGTTAAGTGTCTTGCCTGAGGACACAATGGACAGACTTGGGATAGGGGGGAATCGAACCGCCAACCTTCCAGTTATTGGACGACCGCTCTACCTCCTGAGCTACTGCCGCCCTTTTACCCTAAAAATGGAAGACATGGTCAAGGAAACCACACTGAGCAGACAGAAAACTAAAAGACAAAGCTGCATTTTGGTTTCGAACAAAACAGCAGCCTAACTCGTCAAAAAGGACATATTCGCACGCTCACCTGATAGTCTGCTTTTTACAACGATGACTGATCAGACTGCAAACTCTGAATGTATCCAAACATTTAAACATCATGTTTGATATTCATTTGAAGTCGATTTTCTAAAAACCTGACTAACCCATCATAAATATGTTGATTACATGTATCCTAGATGGTAGTTTTACTTTGCAAAGTTTGAAGAAGAGCTTGTTTTTGTTCTTTTTCTCCAGATCTGAATCTCACTGACTGCTCTGCACCTAAAAACTTCAGCTTTCTTTTTTCTCTTCTTGTTTAAGGGCAGTTAGCAAATAGCTCTCACATGTGCTGCAGACACTTTCAAGTGGTTTTAAACCAGGAAATAGTAGAACTGAGTGAAAAAATGTGTTGTGAATTCACACGATTGTCTGCTCAATTTTCCTATTGTTAAACTACAATTGAAATGATTATTGGAAATCCCAACCTGATCACTGAGTGTTTTTCACTTGTGTTTGTACACTGAGAAGTACAGTAAGGCAGCGTGTGCACGGAGTCGGTTCGCAAATCCACCACCACCAAAAAGAGGAAGCATTTGACTTCCTCGTTTCAACATAACTGTGAATTGTGCCCAATACCACATTCTCACACCAGCTCAGGTGTTTAGTAACCAGTATATTCACATTGATCAAATGAATGAGGTCAAGCATACTTAGATCCAGGTTGGGGTCCCAAATGTCTTAACGTAGGTAAAAACGGATATTACAGTTTATTTTAAAACAGGAATGAAAAAACTTGTATATCCACTTATCTATCAATCTGACAGATCTGAACTCACAGAAAATTTAACCAGTAACCAGAAAGTATTTAGAGAGCAAGAGACTTATTGTTGTTTTTTTATTTTTATTTTTTATTATTTTTATGTGATTTGTCAGCTGACACAAAATTATACTTGAGGCAATCTGACTCATTGCTGTCTTTACCGCAAAAAACAAACAACCCTACCAGTGTATTAACCCACAACTGAAAGCAGTCCCTCCAACTACCTCATTCATCATGTTTTGAGTCATATCTGCTGAAGCTACAGTGCCTTGCAGTTTCACTGAATCTCTCAGCTTTTTATTAAACAGGTTTAGGGAGGGGGGTTTGAAACTCTCCAGAGATGGACTAAAGCGTAGTCGCTTTATGGTTTTTGTTGACAGTAGAATATAAAATCCTTTCATTTAAAAATGCAAGAACATGTTGTCTCCTTAGTATGAATTAAATTAACATCACTGCGGCTTATGTCACCGTTTCAGCACGAGAACAAAAGGATAATCACTACTTTGTGAAGATGAATCTGGTGTTCATCAGAAAATTGACCAAATACCAACAACAATCTCATGACGAAGTAAATCCACTACAGGAACAAAACACTTTTTATGTTTGCTTCTTTTGGTGATACTACACCCTAAAAAGGCTGAAACTGATTTTATATTGTGTCTTTAGAATGAAAAAAAGAAAAAGGAACAAGAGCAGTAAAGAAAAATACTCTAAACAAGTATAAGAGTGAAATCACTGAGGGAGTGAGAAGTAGTCTGAGATGTTTTTGACATCCAGCGTTCAAGCGTCGCCAGATGGTTGTAGTTGAAACCCGGCAGTCTGCCAGCCCACTTCACCAGAGGCACTACCATCCAGAGCAGAATCCTCTCTGCTGGTGAGAGTCCAAGTGTGGGAAAAAAAAAGGAAAAACACTTCTGTTTCCCAGTTAAACAGGAGTCAGAGCAGAAAAAGTGAAGGCAAGACGGCTAAGAGAGCAACAATGAACCAAAATCCACTGACTGACTTTAATGTCTTTATGTAATTTATCCTTCAACATTTTTTTTTGTTTGGGGTGTACACAGAATATTTAAGACGCTGTTTTTTCTGCTGTCTCATAACGCAGACAGAAAACAATAGATTATTTGAGCTTTTTTACCAGTCTCTGCCTTCGTGATTCCTCTCGGAGGTTACGGCCTTTGTTTGGGAACACGCTGTACACTTCAGCTGGTCAAACAAGAGCCTGTGTGAGCCCCTCATTAATGGGTGTAATGACAGTTAATACGAGGTGATAATAGCTGAGTTCAGACCAACATGAGTCACAGCCTGCTGGGGTTACAGATTCAACAATGAAACAGATGTTAGCGTTGAATCAAACATCTGTTTCAATAACAAGACGTCCTGTTTTAGTTTTACCGTAAAAATCTGTCGTACATCATCGAGCGCCGTATCTCTTTGAGAGCGTGAATTCAGACAGGGAGTGAAATATTATAGTAAAATAAAATGAATGAAGCTCTTCAAAACAATCTGAAACAGACGTGTAAATCAGACAAGAGAAAAATAAAGTGAACTTTACATTTACTGTAATTCACTGTTTTACATACTGTATATACTTTCTTTAAGAGCAAGGTCCCCTTTAGAAAAATCGAGTTTTGCAGGTATTTACTATTTATTTAAAAGTTTTTTCAAAGCTTCCAATGAGCTTGTTGCTTTGCTGTGAATTGTTACAGTAAAAAAAAAAAAAAAGTTCCGTACCGTTTTTTTTTTTTTTCTTCTTCTTCTTACCTACATGGCTGCAGGATTTCAATGGAGTGTTTGTGAATATATTAGAAATAAAGTAACAAGAAATAAATCCCTAAGAAATCCAGGAAACTTGAAAACAGGATTAAACTTAAAACCTCAAATCTCACTTAAAGCTCCTGTAAGGAGTTTTTTGTTTGTATCAATTTTGGCATCCCTCTTTGACAAAGCCGTCTTTGCTTATCTTGTGATCATCAGTGTATATATATATTTTTTTTTTATCATAATCTGTAATAATCATAAGGAAATTGTAAAGACAGGGCTGCTTCTCAACCTGCTCTCCTGACACCAACCCTCAGGGATTAAAAACGTCGACATAAAAAGCATCCATGTTGTTGCTGATGGTCTTGATCACTTTTGGACTTCTTTAAAAGGCAACAACATGATATTGAGTGTATTCCATAAGTGTCAAAAACTCCCCATAGGAGCTTTAAACCTTGATATGAGCTTAGATAAACACACTAACTTGTTAATGAAGGAGAAACCATCTGTGGCCTGACTGATGGAGAAACCTTTTTGCTGACATTAAACTAAGGGGAACCGTTAAGTGAGTTAATGTTGTTATGACTCAAATGTAATCTGTGTGTGTTTTTTTTAACTGATGTTACACATTTCAGTGACCTCACGTTTGAGTCACAGCTCATGTTTCTGCCTCTGAACTCTTCCCTGAATAAAAGCAGCGGCGCAGAGAGGTCGGCTGAGGTAGCTTCCACTCCTTCTCTTTCCAGCGGAGGATGTTCTACTCACGCATGTTAACTGTGTGTTTATATATTTGTGTGTGTGTGTATGAGTGTGTGTGTGTGTGTGTGTGTGTGTGTGTGTCTCACCATCTGGTCGCCATCAGCTGCCCGTGCAGAGGTGCTGCTGACAGTCAGGACCAGCTGGCGGACTGGACAACAGAACAATTGTGACAGAGCAGACGCAGACAGATGCAGGTTACAGCTCAGAGGGTCAGAGAGTTTGATCGTCATATAGAGAGACATATACCCATCGCATATCAGTCATATTCAAACAGAGTATGTAAAAACGACCCTCTGTTATAGATGACGATATTAGGATTTGTACTCTTTGTTCATTCAGAGATCGTGAGAGGAATTACATTCAGTCAGAAATCCTGGTTTGCTTTTGTTATTGGGGTACAGTGGGTTGAAAGTTGACGGTCTGGAGGGTTTGGCTGCATCAAATCTACAACATGTTGAAACAATATTAAGTAGAAAATACGCTGATTAATTACATCACTGTCTGCTGTTTCCTCCTCTGAGCACCGGTCTGGAAAATTACTTCCTTGTTGTGTTGTGGTGTTTTGTTTTCTTGTTGACCACCTGCTTCGAAATGGACATAAAAGCCATCACTTTAGTCACTGATGTTTTTGTTCAGTTGTACGCCAAATATAAGCATCATTGTGAGTTTCAGTTTGTCTTCAAAAAACTCCTTGCAGGAGCTTTAATGAGTGGATAGAGGACATAAGCAAGTAGATAAATATTTCATGGCCTGATGGAGAAACCCGGTGTGCACACCTGAGAGGAATTAAGCATCCAAGTCACCCGAAAGGATATGACGACGCCATTAATGGTCATGTAAAGACCATCAATTACAGAGACAGAGAGAAATCAGAAATACCTCTGAGCCAAAAACAAGCACGTAAAGTCACGTTGCAGGAGTTCTGGTCAGTAACTAATTTGCCAGAAAACTGCACCTGCATTTCAGAGTAATAGTCACTTTGTGGATTGACTCGCTAAGTTGCATAAACAGCCACCTGTTTGATGGATGTGAACATGAATTCGGCTTCTGTTTACCATCATTTTAACTTTCACGTATTGCTTACCCTCCGTGTAAGTCCTTGTTCCCGTTCTGTATCTTCACCATTACCAGGGCTTGAAACTGACTTTCTCACTCGTGACACAAACCAGTGTTTAATATCATTAACAGTCAAAATCTTATTAAACCAGGATACAGTCAGCATATTATCAGCTTGCAGCCACAGTTTCTGCCAGTGTTTTGGTGTCATTGTGACCCTGTTAAATGATGACTTTCAGCTGAATGGATCTCTCACAAATGGCTTTAGTTTTTTTACTAAGGACAAAATGAATCGGTATGATTTGACTATAAAAAAAATGGGATGCATTTTGGAAAGAATCTTTCTGTGTTGTAACCACGTCGACTGTGACACATTCAGCTGAAGGTTACTAGTTTGCTGTTGTGATCTTGTCAAATACTCAACAGCCAAAATAGAAACTAATCCAGTGTTTGAAGCTTTCCAACTTGTCTGGATAAAAGGGGAAACATTGCATTTAATGCTAAAACTTGCACCAATATTTCTCATGATTTAGGCTGTAAATGGGTTAATTGTACCTCAGTTTGGTGAACCTTAAGTTTAAGTTTTTCTGTCAAAAATATTATCCCTTCTTAAAATACAGCCATGATGATAGCCAACAAAATGCAGTATGTTTGAGACTAGCTCTAGCTGCAGCAAAAATATTAAAATGGTACTTAATAAGAATAATAATCCTACAATCTATAAACTGCGCTCACAAAGGGGTGTTTCATCTTGATAACTGAGCTACAGTTTACTTGTAATACATCTGTGCTTACAGTATATAACAGATGCTGTTGTAAGAAAAACAAAGATGGTGTGAGTTGTACATTTTTCAATATTTCATCTTCCTGTTATTTACACAGTCCCTGCTCAGCTCATTCATGCTCCTGCAATCACAAAACTCAAAAGACGGACTCAAGTATGAATTCTTAGATTTTTCCTCAAGCTCTTAAAAACAGGGTCCCCTTTTACCCCGACATGTCCTCTTTTTGGAGGGCTGAGTTTATAAAATCCTTCAAATGTGCGGTTTTGGATAGAAGTTTTGAGTTTGTGTCACGTGGACTTACTGAGTTAGAAGTGCGTGAAAACACTCGACCCGACCTGAAAAACTCTCAGAATTAACTATGCACGACTCTAAGACTCCGCCCCCACGTAGTCGTGTCATTCAGAATATGGTCACCCAACTTAAAAAGCTTCACCTAAATTAAGACACACTTCTAAAAAACTGAAGTTTGAAGATTAAGCTTCATGATTTAACCCCGCTGCACCATGCAGCCTGCAACACTCAGCGCCTGCACACTCAATAAACCAGGAAAAGCTAAAAGGAAAACATCACTGGACTTTGCATGCAGAGACTACATTGTTTAAAGGAGCAGTTCACCAATTTTTTTGAGTTCATATGATTTTTTTTGCCAGTTTTAATCGGTTGAACTTCCTTTTTTTGATTTTCTTTAAAGTCGTAAGGGAGCAGTATTTTGTTTTTCAGATTGATCGTGTCCATTTTGTGAAACAAACCCATCAGAAAAGTTAATCTGGTTTAAGCTATCAGGTCTGGAAGTGGAGGCTTTTCCGTTTTTCTTTTATATCCAGTCCAAGCTGAGATAAGAACGGAGGCCAAAGCCAACACACAGCAGCAGTAAAACTCCGAGCACCAACACATCCTGCCTGCCTGCCAGCACTGAGCCCCTGTAGCCCGTCTGTGATATCTGCTGTGGAGCTGGCTCAGTGCCTCAGTCTGCTCAGTGTATAACACACAAACAGGTTTTCAGGCATCATGACGCAGATTTGGACTCATTGTGGAAACTGCCCAGCCACCCGTTGCAAATGAACGGTGAGTCAGTGCATCATTGTTGTGACCACCTTCCTCAAAACGGCCCCAAAAGACCAGACTGGACCAGACCACAGCAGAAAGAGAACAAAGCACAGCCTCTGGGCCTGTGTGTTATTTCCACACTTTCACCGCTAATCACAGAGGGTCTGAAACTCAGGACAAAGCAGGCCAACATGACTGTGCTGGCATTTGCATCAAAACCTTTTTATAGAGGAAACAGTCTGTTATACAACTGAGAAAAAGAGCAAACAGGAGGATCATCCGAAGTTCATTTTCTGATCTGTTGTCTCTCTTTGAACGTTGAACCTCGTTCGGTTCCAGACGCGACTTTTATGCTTTAAACGGTGCACTTTTTGATGTGTCAATCAGCGGCTTTCATTTTCCTTTTCGCACAGTGTGTTCGTTTGTTTTCCTGTGAATGTGCACACCAGCAATCAGAAGAAACCATCATCCATGAACTAAAAAAAAAAAGTGCTCATCGTGGTTGTGCGGAACAAACAAATCCACACTTAGCAGCACAAAAACAACTTAGCGAGATAGTGTCCATGAACGCTAGTCCTGTAGTGTTAAAGCATGACACTTTTAAATGCGTCAGATTTTGTGTTACTGTAATTCAGCTAAATGCTGGTGACATTTCCAGCGCTCATGTATTGTGTCTTTAGAGGAGAGCCTGGATGCCCGGGAGGTCTGAGGGCTGTGACTCATGCTCAAAGCCTTTGCGCTTGTGACATGGAGAAAGGAAATAAGAGCCAGATGCCAACAGATATCCACCAGCACATGGCTCACACGACAGACCGCATTCTGTGTGTGTGTGTGTGTGTGTGTGTGTGTGTGTGTGTGTGTGTGTGTGTGTGTGTGTGTATATTCCCAGCACTTGTACACAAAAGGACTCAGGTGATTTTCCAGCGACAATTTTACGTCAAAGTCCCGGCAATGCGTGAACAATTCTCAGAATTCACAGTAAGAACCCAAACACGAGCGAAATAAACACACAAACGCTTTGGCAGAGTAGAAAATGTGTCAGCCAGATCAGGCTTGATAAATCACGCCTCAGACTTGTAATATTCCAGGTCTGGTCCAGATGCTGGTTTTAACCTGAAACAAACTCAAGACTTAAACAACTAGATGCGTCATCCAGCCATCGTCTTTTACAAGAGTCTGGAATAAGTTTTTCTTTTAAAATATGTGCAGAAAATCTGTGTTTCGATGACAGATTTCTATGGGATATGAACAAGTGAACAAGACAGAACTCAACCCCATGGGTGTTACTGTCTCCACTCACCAAGTGCGAGTAAAATCATTTGCGTGAATGAATTTCATGTTAAGTCAATGCAAGATGCGATTATACGCTCCTACTACTCTGGCAGTGCGAATGACGAGAATTTGGCGGGAAATGTCTCAACTTGAGCGGATATTCGCGTCGTGATAACTAATCAGCATGAAGGTTTGCCAGGTGACGTATGAAAACGGACGGTAACTCACTGGTATCACTGGTGTTGATGTGTGGGTGCCCCAAATCATATGATATCTTTTCTTTCAATTAACAAAACCGGAATAAAAAAGAGCTCGTCTGGAGGGAAGTGAGTGAGGAGGTTGGATTACCTGGTAAATTGTAAAAAACCTTTGTCTATAACTGGATCCCGCTAGTTGAATTCGCAGAAATTACCGCAAATAAAGCGAGTAAAAACTGGTCATTCAGACGTCTAGATTTGCGCAAATTAAACGAGTGGATGATTTTACTCACGCTTGGTGTGAGTGTGTTAGCGTCAGAATATAAATCGCCCTGTTGATGAAGGAGGGGTTTCAATCCTCCTGACATGACGATTTGACCCGGTCCACAATGTGCTGTTTCTGTGCAGCTGTGGAGCTCTTGTAGTTTCATCTGTTTTTGCCTTGTGGTATTTAAAATCTGCCCACTGCTGCTACAAAAGTTGAGCTCAAACTGTGTTAGTTTTGGTATTTGCAAAATACCGCCTGTGACCAGTTCATCTTTAGTCATGCTGCCTACTTATGCCCGTCAAACCACCTCACCACGAGGTTTATTTACTTCAACATGTGGCTCAGTTTTCTTTGAATGAACGATAATGATAAATTTATTAGAAAAACTGATAAAAAGCTGTGACGACCTGGTCTGTGTTGCTATAAAGACTATTCCACTTTATGCAGTTAAAGGGATATTCCGGCGTAAAATTCATTTAGAGTCAAACACACCATAACACAGAGTTAGACCCCCCCCCTCGAGAGATGAATGTCATAATCTTTCTTTTTAGCATAATATCAACATTTTATTTGTTTCTGTCCAATAAATGGGGGCCCTTTCTGGATTTTTTAAAAAAGTGTATGAAAGTACTTTTACAACATATGTAAGCTGCAAAATCAGTGAAGTGAGTGTTGCATGACCTGAACTGTGGTTGAAAGAAACATGTACTATCCCATGTGGCTTTACGGTGTGTGCAAGTGTTGAAAGAAGATAGATCTATGAAGAAGAGGGAGGAGTCATTTCTTAAGAGAAGCATTTAAAAAAAACTCTTAATGTCTCTTTTATCTTGAGCTCAGGAAGAACAAGCAGAATGCCTATCCTGTGAGACAATGTGTCGCTGCAGCTTTGCCTGAGGCCTGAAGCTCACGCGAGCTGTGTGGCTGCTCTAACCTGTCAACACTGGCGCTAAATGACAAGCATGCATAACTATTTAATACCACTGCCAACAACAGACTACATTCCCATGGCTTGTAATCACATGTGTTCCTGTTGTCTCTCATTTTCTGAAAATATTTGTGACATTTATTCTTGGTCCACCTTGTAATTATAATAAACTACAAACAAAAAGAAGACGCACAAAAGTTATTCAGGTAAGCAGCTTGGTGCTGGCCCTCAGTTACATTTCTGTGTATGGGTGTGTGTGTGTTTCTGTTTGTAGCGCACGTTCGCTC